TTAGAGCACAAACTCTAGAGCTGAACTCTGTGGATTTTCAAATCTCAGCTCCACTACCTAACAGTTCTGTGACTTTAGGCAAATTATTTGACTTTTCTTTACCTTAGTTTCCTAATCTGTAAAATGGAGTCATATATAAAACTAAACATGTTCTTGCCATATAATCCAATAGTCTTGCCCTTTGGTATATACCCAAAGAAGCTGAAAAATGTTACGTCCACATGAAAACTCTCACACAGATGTTTACAGCAGTTTTAACCATAATTGCCAAAACTCATAAGCAACAAAGATGTCCTCAGTAGGTGAATTAATAAATAACTGTGGCACATCCAGACGATGGAATATTATTCAGAATAAAAAGAATTGTGCTATCAAGCTGAGAAAAGACATGAAAGAGTTCTAAATGCATTTTAATAAGTGACAGAAGCCAGTCTGAAAAGGCTATATATTGTATGATTCCAGTTCTGACATTCTGGAAAAGGCAAAACTATGGAAACAATAAAAATATGTGTGGTTGCTGAGGAGAGACGTGGTGGGGCAAGGGAATGACCAAGTGGAACACAGAGGATTTTTAGGGCAGTGAAAATATTCTGTATGATACATGTCATTATACAATCATACAATGGTAGATAAATGTAATTATACAATTGCTAACATCCATAGAATGTCCAATACCAAGAGTGAACCCTAATGTAAACTATGGACTTTGGGTGAGAATGATGTGTCAATGTAGGTTCATTGATTGTAATAAATGAACATGGGGGAGGCTGTGCATGTGGAGGTGGAGCAGGGGGTATATGGGAAATCTTGGTACCTTCCACTCAGTTTTGCTATGAACCTAAAATTGCTCTACAAATAAACTATTTTTTTAAAATGGGAATAATAGTAGTACTCAGTAGTGTTGTGGTAAGGATAATATGAGTTAATACATTTAAAGCACTTGGAACAGTGTCTGGCATAGAGTATGCTTATGTTATTAGTTATTATTATGTTATTCATTAACATAAAAATATATAGCTTTCATAGGTTCACTCATATACTTGGGCTTCCATCTCTGTTTTTCCCCATAAATACTTAAGTTTTTCAACCTCAAATTCTTCTACCATAATTGCTATGTAGAATCTAATCATATTGACAGCATTTCTTTAATGTGGGCAGAGGGCCTCCTACATCAGAATAAACTAGAGTCTTTTTGTAATACAGATTGTTGTTACATTCCTCACCAGAGTTACCAACTCAGACATTTTGAGGATGGGGCCAAGGAATTTGCATTTTCCACAAGCACCCAAAGAGATTCTCATGCAGGTTGGATTGCTAGTGCTTTGAGAGTCTGGGCCTGATTACACTACACTTCTGACATCCCAGGCACTTCTTCATACAGTCCCCACAAATTCTCACCAAAAGTACACATGTCGATTTTGGCAGAACACTGTGTGTCTCGGAGATGGAAAGGTAAATAGTGACCTAAGAACTCAGTTTATCTCAGAACCCAGCCTGCTATGTGAAACAACTTTTTTTGTGAAGTGGAACATATTTTATGTCAAACTCGTACTTCGTGACAACTCTTCTTAACAGCATGAGTAATAGTTCATTGCTGTTCTAAGTTTTAAGTATTAAAAGTGAGCATGTGATTAATCCTAAACAATTGAGTCATTTTGAGGGACTTTTGGGGATAAAAGAAACTATAGGATAGAGTGAGCAAAATATCTGTCATTAGCAACAGGACATGAAATTAAATACTATGTGATGGTGCATCGAAAGGACAGGATTACTAGCCAAACTCTTTTTCTCCTGACTATACAACCAGGCACATGAAGTAAGTTTAGTTGTGAGTAAAGGTAATGTTTCCATAAATCTTGAAGAGCTCAACCATTACTAACTACTAGCAGGACTGTTATACATGTAATGAAGCCAATACTGTATAAATACTTATAAAAATAAGAGGGAAATGAAATGAATACAGACTAAGAAGGGAAAGAAACAAAAATATATTATCGATATTGCTTTGCAAATTAAACTAACAATCATTTATTGGACACCTATGTGCCAGACATTGTACTAGAAGCGTGCACGCACACACACATGATCCCTCCACCCTCACATCAGCCTAAGAAAGTAGTTATAATAATCCTCATTTCACAGAAGAGAAAATTGAAGCTCAAAATGGTTCATATAGCTGATAGTGAACAGAGTCAGGATTTAAATAGAACTTCTGACAGTACTAACCTAATTGAGTTGTACATAATTGATCAGCAGTTATATATAATGGGACTATAAATTCATGTTTTTATGTAAAGTCGATCGCAATAACATTCTGGCAGAGTGCCCCTGGATTTGAGTTATTTGAAGAGGGCCAAGGGCGATTTCTGCTTTCAACAAAGATAAAATTGAGAGAGACAAGAATCACCCTCCTGGCCTTAAACTTGAAAACCAAACAAAATATATATAAATGGGTTTTGGACATTGGGAAGCAAGCAGCTCAAGACTGTGATCTCTGAGAAAAGAAGCAAACACAGTAAGCCTAAGATTGTACTAGCCGCTCCCTGGAAGCAGTTTCTAGGCTACAGTGCAGGGAGAGGGCCCTAAGCAGAGCCTGCTCAGAGATGTACAGAGAGCCAGGGTAGCTGGAATGTGCAGTGTAGGGCACTGGAGAGAAGGGAGTAGCACAAAGAGCGAGCTCCGGAGACATGCAGGGGTCCTCAAGTCTTTGCTGGCCTAAGGTGTTTGCTTGGGTACTGATGTGTGCAAACTACCCGAGGCCAGGGAAAGACACAGGAAGAAGCAAAGAGAACAATTTCCAAGGTTCTCAGAGGACTGGAAATAGTTCATGTTACCACCAGCCAGAGAAGAAAGGCCTCAGGATACCCAGAGCAGCAGGTGGAAGCCTCAGAAAGATATTGCCTTAACAGTGGGGCTAAATTAGCCTTAAAATGAAGGCTGCTCTGGAGTTGCCATACTGATTTCAAATAACAAGGAAAAGAAGTCAGTACTGAGACCTGTTGAATAAGTAATGGGGATTTCCTTGAAGATAGAAGGATTAACTAGGGTACAACAGGATGAAAGTGTGACAGGTACTTGTTTAATTTGTAGATCAGTGGAACTGAGGCTGCTAGACTTTTAGATGAAGGCAAGTGATGAGCAACCAACCACAAGAAGAATGAAGAGGACTCTGTACTGTATGCTTCTGAGGGCCCTACAGATATAAGTAGGGCTGATTTCTCTTTTAGCTCTTAGACTTTGACAGGTCTTCAAATGTTGTTTCTGCAGCTAATGCTTATTGTATCTCAGATCTTTGAAAATTGGTAATTTAACTCTAAGCATATGTAGTAACTCGGGTAATTAGACCTTTCAAGCTTTCTATTCTTCCACTGTTTCCTGGATTAGGAGGATTGCTTTTTCACAAAAAGCATATATTCATGTTGTTTGATAAAAACATATTTAAGCTCTACAAATGTAGATAATTTACAAGTAAAGTGAGTTTTTAAATTTTTAAAAGTGTAGTCACAGTGTAGTACGATACATGATATTCTTTGAAGATGAGTCATCTTTAATTTTGTAGATTATTACACTTTAGCAGTAGTACTATCAATCTGCAACAAAGGGACAACATTTAACAACCCAAAATGGGAGATATTAAATCGAGATTTATATCTCGTATCGGAGAAAGCTTTTCTTACTATGGCACTAGAACCAGAAAAGTCAAAGGAAAAATATTACAGGTTATACTCCACAAAAGGTAAGAATTCTAGGCAAAACCCACCATTAATATAATTAAGATATTATTAACTGTTAAAAAAGATATTTGACATATATGATGAAGAATTGATAGTCTTAATATAGAAAAACACCTTTCTAACTACCGGAGCTGTGTGATGACGTCACTGTTACTGTTCAAAGACGTTGCAGAGGGCATGCTCACGTCAGCTTGGTTCCACTAGAGGACTTCTAATCATGTGTTGGTCTTTCTGATGACCACCCCCCATTCAGGAACCATCCAGGAGTCTACCCGGACCTTCTCGTTAAAACAGAAGATACTCCTAGTGCTCTTATCACTTAGGAATATATAATGGTTTAGTTGCTCTATGTCAGGAACTGGGGGCAGAGAAATACATACACACATACACATATACATATATATACACATGTATATGTATATATTTCTTATTTCATAGACACATAGTAAGAACTTAAGAAACACAAGTGTTGTTTTTTTGATATATAAGATGATTTTACTTCAGTGAAAATTAGTGACATAACAATCACTTAGTCATATAATTTAGCATGAACTACATGAAGACTTAACTGTAGGTTAAAGTCATAAATATTTAGTAAACCCTCACTTAATTGAATTAGTAAAGAATGTGGGATTTTGTTCAATTGCCTAGTAAACTGTCAAGTCCACAATGTTACTCCTTGAGCGCAGTTCAAATGGGAATTCCTCCTTGAAGCCTTGTACCTACTCTGAAGTTGGACAGCCCTCCCACTTGTCCAAGCCTGTCTTGTGACACACTAAGCACATATTAGCATTATTTGTGTCTACATCTTATCTTCCTGACAGGCTTTAAATGCATAAGGGAGACTATGTCTTATTTTCCTCTGTAATGTCCATGCTGCACAGCACTGTCCAGTAGAATATCATATGAACGACATATTCAGTTTTAGATTTTCTAGTTGCAACGTTAAAAATTAAAAGGATCAGAAGAATTAATTTTAATATATTTTATTTAACCCAGTATATCAAAAATGTTTCAATATAGAATCAATGTAAAAATTATTTGTGAGGTATTACACATTCTTTGTTTTTATACTAAGTCTTCAAAATCTTGTATTTTATATCTACAGCCCATCTCAAATCTGTATTAGCCACATTTCAAGTGCCCAGAAGCCACTTAGCTAATGACTACCATTTTAAGACAGCGGAGGTGTAGCACATTATAGATGATTAGTAAATGAATATCCCATAGGCAGATTTTCAAAAAATAATTTTTTTCTCCCAACAGACCACCATGGCTGCAGGAGTCTTGCCTCAGAATGAACAACCATATTCCACTTTAGTGAATAATGATGGGCATGCTGCAAACATGAAAGGTAATAGTTCTTTAATATATTTTTTGTTTCTTTGTGCAAACTAGAGTTTAATAAAATTATGTGAATGGACACGAAAGAAAAGGCTTGATTCTTGATATTGGAATCCCAAGTTGCGGGTAGTACTTATGGTCTTTTGTTTATTTCTGCCTTACCGTTTTCACTGGTTAAAAATCCTTTTCAAAATCCTGAAGAATGATCTTGACCTTTTAAAAAGGAAGAGTGAAAACAGTCTCCTACATTATTCTTAGACTGAAATTATCCTTTTGTCTCTCTCATCAAATTCCTGCTTGTGAACCAAACTTTTCATTTCTTTCTTCTTTGGTTACTTACAGTGTCACTTGTAAAGCACATTCAGAAGCATGCTAGCCCTGCCTCTCCCAGTTTTTGTCTTTCACAGTTTTGCCTTCCCACAGTTTTGGTTTTCACGTGGTTCCCCAGGGGGAAGGGTGCGGTTACTTGGACTCTTACTGGCACTTGCCCCTCACATTCTCTTACTGTTGCATATTCATAGCTGGAAGTGCACCCTGATTTCCTACCACTTTGGTACCACTGGTCTTGCTGCCACCACTAGCAGTTAGCAAAGAAAGATGTTGAGTAATTTTTCTTGGTAGTACACCTTACATGATTTTCTTACTGACCACTCCTGGTTTTGCCCAAGTTCACTTTAATTATCCTGTAAAAGGAACTTTGCAGGATTTCCCCCCACTAAGTATGGATTAGATAATATAAGGAAAAGTAAAGGAGTATGGGTCAAAGGTATTAGAGTTCAACACTGAGAAAATTGGGAGTTGATTGTGCTCTCGTTGGAACCCAACCACTCCACCAGGGGGAGCTCTCTTTTATCCTGAAAATCATTGTTTCCCACTTCTGATCTTATTAGATCCTCCCTCTGTGCTGTGTCTGACTCTAGAGGGACCAATACTACTGGTAAATACCATTTGTGGACAGCTTCTGTGTGCCAGACTTAACTGTATGTTACTTTCCCTGGTTTAGAAAGAAGTGCTATCTAAAACAAATACAATGGTATCTATTTTCTGCTTCCCCTATAGAATAATGGGTTTTTTCCCCCTAAGTAACTCTTTAGCTAATAAGATTAAGAGTCAGCTGTACCTTTTCCCCTGTTCTTTCTTCTGCTGAAATATTACCTCTTAGCTGATGTTTCTCACTGGAGATTCTATTGGCTTTAGAGGTGGGGCAACTCTTCATTGTGCAAGAGAGCCCCAGCACTGAAGATACTGAGTATCCCTGCCCCCCTAGTTCAGTAATGTCCTCAAATTACAGTGACAAACAAAAATCTCTATACATCTCCAGATGCCTCCAGGAGGGTTGTAACACCTCTATTGTGATCTACTAGGTAAGCTGATTTTTACCTTTCCAAAAATCATCTTTTGAACTATAATCACCCTCATTGTATAAATGTAGCTAATTTTTAATTTGGAAAAAAATCTGGACAAATAAAAACCTTATTTTATATCTAACTTCTTTAAAGTATGTCTCTTCTATAAATGTAATCAGTTATTCTTTATTGGGTTAACATTGGGATAGGAAGTATTTTTTTAAATGTTGGCTAATGAATCATGGAAAAATTTAATTAGGGGATACATAAATGTTTAAGTTACTTTAAAGGAAAATAGAAAACTCATCAAGAACTAGCTTTGAAATGACCTAGATTTAAATTTTGGTTCTACTCCTTTTTGAAAATAAAAACTTATTTTGGGAAAATTCAAACATTTACAAAAGAACACAGTAAAGATCCCTATGGAGATACTACTCTCTCTCCATGTAGGCACCACCTACCCATGTAGGTGCCATCACCCGGCTTTAACAATTTCAGCTCATTCACTTCCCATCATTCCTTTCCCCCACTTCTGTTTACTTCATTTCATTCATTTAACCTTGTCATCATCCTCATAATTTTTAAAAATAGCAGTAATTGCTTTATATTATCTAAACATCACTCAAATTTCTAGTCGTCTTATAGATGAAGTATGTTTGAATTGAGATCCAACAAAGGTCAATATATTGTAATTGGTTGATATGTATCTTACATCTCTTTTAAAACTGGGATTTTTCTCCATCTCTTTTTTCTTATAGTTTATTTGTTGTTTGCCCACATGGTATTTCTTATCAACTGAACTGGTAGAGGGATGTAGAGTCTAGTGAAGTTGTTCTTTTATTGTCAACAATATTTCATGGATAGTGCTGTCTTCTTCCATCTGGATGCCCATGATGTCTGGTTCTCTCCTTATGATGTTAGTTCTTTTATTTTGAAATAATTTCAAACTTACAGAAAAAGAACAAAAATTTCCTATATACTGTTCACCCAGAGAGCCGTATTCAAGTTTCATTGGCTGTCCCAATAATATCCTTTAATAGCAAAAGGATGTTATGTTTTTTAGAGTCTTTTGATGACCATAGTTAGTTCTTTCTTGATCTTCATGAAGATTACAAACCAGTTATTTTTGCAGCATGTTCCTCAATTCATGTTTGTGTGCTGCTACGTTATAAGATTGAGGTTATACATTTTTGGCAGAAACATCTCAGAATGGATCTATGCTTTTCTCACTGCATCATATCAGGGGGCACAAGATACCATTTTGCTCCATTACTGGAAATGTTAAGTTTGATCACGTTAGTAAAGTGGTGTCTGCCAAGATTTATCCATTATAGATTTTTTTTTCTCTTCGTAATTAATATTTTATGGAGTGATGCTTTGAGACTATGTAAATATCCTGGTCCTCATTCAACTTTTACCCTTTTATAGCCAAACCCACTTCCATCCATGACTCTGGCCCCTGATGATCACTAATCTGCTTCTCATTTCTATAATTTTATCATTTCAAGAATGTTATAAATGAAATCATACAACATGCACTCTTATAAATTTGGCCTTTTTCACTTGACATAATTCTCTTGAATTTCATCTAGATTGTTATATGTATCTTCAGTGTATTCCTCTTTATTGCTGAGTAGCATTCCCTATTATGGATGTACCCCCAGAAGGTTTATCCACTCACTCATTGAAGGACATCTGAATTTTTTCAGTTTGGGGTTATTATGAATAAGCTGTTCTGAACATGCACATACAGATTTTTGTGTGAGCATGAATTGTGTCATTACTCTGGGATAAATGGCCAAGAGTGGACTTCCTAGGTCATAGGATTGTTGCATGTTTAGTTTTATATGAAACTGCCAAACTATTTTCTAGAATGGCTATATCATTTTTCATCCCGACCAGCAATGTATGAGTGATCAAATTTCTCTGCAGCCTTGCCAGCATTAATTGTCACTATTTATTTTAGCCATTCTAGTAGGTGTCTAATGGTATCTTATTGTGGTTTGCAGAACTCGCTTATTAGGTCTAGGAGCTTTTTGGAGATTCCTTGGGATTTTCTATATAAATAATCACATCTGCAAATAAGGATAGTTTTATTTCTTTTCTTTACATTCTGTATGCCATTATTTCTTTTCCTTGCTGTATTGTAGTGGCCTAGAAACTCTACTAAGCAGAGTAAGAGTCATGAAAGCAGACATCCTTGCCTTTGTCCTGATCTTAGGGAGAAAACGTTCAATCCTTCACCTTTCAGTATGATGATGAGTTTTCAGTAGATGCTCTATAACATCTTCCCTTTGTTGTTAACTTGCTGAGATTTTTTTTTTTATTATGAATATGTGTTGGAATTTGTCAAATGCTTTTTCTGTGTTATTTGATATAATATAATTTTTCTTGTTTAGCCTGATATTGTGGATTATATTGAATGATTTTTGAATGTTTAAGCATTCTTACATGCCTGTAGTAAATCCCATTTGATAATGGTGTATAATTCTTGTTATGTATTACTGGATTTGGTTTGCTGATATTTTGTTGAGAATTTTATGCTTAAATTCTAAAGAGATGTTGGATTATAGTTTTATTTTTTTGTACTATCTTTATCTGCTTTTGTTAAAAGTAATTCTAGCCTCATAAAAGGGGTTTGAAATGTTCCATCCTCATCTATTTTCTGAAAGATATTGTATAAAATTGGTGTTTAATTTTCTTTAAATGTTTGGTAGCATTTTCCACTGTCTTAGCAGTAGTCTTTTGCCCCAAGAGGCTGAAGATTTTTTTGTTCATCAACAGTATTTTCAAATAATACCCATCACTTTTCTCCCTTGAGTGAGCACCTTGTATCCATCCTTCACATATCCCCTGGACAAATTAGGACAAACACATGCAATAATTTGTAAGTAAGGTCTACTCTGCTTCCCCTGGAACCAGGGACCAGAATCCAACACTGGGAAGGTGAATTGCCATTTTCAAGACTGCCACCAAGCTGCAGAGAGGATGGGGCAAGGACAAGGGAAAATGTTTCAAACATTTTCTACCATTGCCTTTTTTATTATTATTCAGCATTGCTTGGTTGCTGTACATCTTTCGATATTTTCTAGAGTTCTGACAATTGTCACTTTTTTATTCTTGAAGGATATATCTGCCAGATATATAATTTGCATATGACAGTAATTTTCTCTCAAAAAATGCTGTGCCACTTCCTTCTATCCTTCATTTTTTTTTGATGAGAAATAGCCATCATTCAGATTGTTGTCTTCCTATAAATGTGTCATTCCTTTTTAGTTGCTTTCAAGATTTTTTCGTCTTCAGTTTTTAGAAGTTTTATTATAGCGCATCTTGGCATGGATTTCTTTAAGGTTCATTTAGCTTCTTGAACAAATTTGGGAGACTTTCAGCCATTATTTCTTTGGATACTTTTTTAGTTCCATCTCTTTCTGCTTTGCCTCTGGGACTCAATGATATGAATGTTACTTTTTAATATCCTACAGGCTTCTGAGAATCTGTTCATTTTTATTAGTCTGTTTTTCTCTCTGTTGTTCAGATTGTATAATTTCTGTTGATCTGTCCTCAAGGTCCTAATCATATTCTCTGTCATTCCCACTATACTATCGAGCCCTTCCAGAGAGTTTTAAATTTTGGTTATTTATTTTTCAGTTCTGTTATTTCTATT